GTCTCTAAACAATCGTCTATATACAATCTTTCAATTCTGTCAGAGAAGACGGACAAATCGCACAAATACGAGACCTTGAATCTTAGCAAGTTCAGTTCGGCGAGTCCCCCTCTTTCTCGCGCCACTTCTCCGCTTAATCAAAATATCGAAGCTGGTATGAAGATTTGGCATCTTGTTAAGCACCATGATTCTGACGCGCGAAAAGAAGGAGATCGCGGCAATAAAATGGTCTCAGAGATCTATTTGACGAGGTTACTGGCAACAAAGGGTACTCTGCAGAAATTCGTCGACGATCTGTTCGAGACAATATTCAGCACTGCCCATCGAGGCTCAGCGCTACCTCTTGCCATCAAGTACATGTTCGATTTCATGGACGACCAAGCTCTGCAACACGGCATATCCGATCCGGAAGTGGTCCACACGTGGAAGAGCAATTCCCTTCCCCTTAGGTTTTGGGTTAATCTCATAAAAAATCCGAATTTTATTTTCGATATACACAAGTCTAACATTGTGGACTCGTGTTTGTCCGTCGTGGCGCAGACATTTATGGATAGCTGCTCAACGTCGGATCATAGATTAGGTATGTAACTTTTATCAATGTTTACGTCTGTATGTATCATTAAAGAGATTCAGGAATGCATTTTTTTTCTGCTGTTCTTAGGTAAAGATTCTCCGAGTTCGAAACTATTATACGCGAAGGACATTCCAGTGTACAAAGAGTGGGTAGAGCGTTACTACTCAGATATTAAAGTCATGCCAGCCATATCCGATCAAGACATGAATGCCATGCTTGCCGAAGAGTCGAGAGTATTTATCCATCTTTTATAATCTTTATATTCGTAACGTATAAATTTCATAAATGCTCAGTACAATTTCTAACGCATCAACATTTGTTTAATTTTGTTTCAGTTGCACACAACGGAGTTTAACACGAATTGTGCTTTATATGAACTGTATACATACGCGGGTAAATACAACGAACAACTAATAGTCACGCTCGAGGAGGACGAGTTCTCGCAGAAGCAGAGACTGGCGTACAAGCTCGAGCAAGTGCACAATATAATGGCGGCAGACAATCCCTGATGCATGACCATGAATTCCATGAAGCACATGACGAAATCTGCTCGTCAAGAGTTACCCTGCTGAGCGGTCAATCGCGGTCCGGTGTAATTATCAACGACACGAACGAGGGGAACTGGCCTACCTTGAAATCGATAATCTCAGGTGCAAAAGCCAGTTTTCTCAGCTTAACGCGAATCGCGAGTGAACTTTGGAGTTATTCCAGACAGGGGGCTAAGAGCGTTGCGAGTTAACTGGGAATTAATTAAAGGACTAAGTGTTAAAAATATGTGTCGAGGAAGTCTTCTCAGAGGTCGCCAGTTCGTAGGTGTGGCCATAATCATAAGCACATTGCCGCGTGCGCGTATAATTGTACATAAGATATCAAAAATCATGAATAATTGTAATAGGATATTAAATGTACGATCACCCCTCGACTTGACGGTCGAGTCGAGTGCAAAAGCGGGGCGAGAGCGTTTCCCTCGCCGCGCGGTGATCGCACGCCCGTTTGCACCGCGAGTGATTTTAAAAATGAATGTAATAATGTGAAACACACTAGTGATAAGAGGCGCGAGTGAGGGAATCAGCCGCGATATCGATCGATAATTTGTAAATGTGTTTAAAAAAAAAATTAATACGGTCGATTACCAGCGCCGTGATCTCGGTGATCTGGCGATTTTTAACGAAGAAACATTTCCATCCACCGCTACTCTAGCTGAAATTTTTTGAACTGACGAATTTTAAGAGATAATGATAATTATCGATAACGATGAAATAATTAAACGATATGGATATATTATATATGTATGGATGGTATGTCGTATGTATATGTGTACATATATACACTTTATACTGGCGCAAGCATGCCTGTGTGTGCGTGTGCGTATATCTAGTATCCGATGAGGAGGCGCGCGTGCGAGCAGGTAGGACGGTATCCCGCGCCGAGTTATTTTGCCATAACTTTATCACACAAAACGAGACTTAAAGAAGTCTCACTCGCTCACACGCTTATAAGCGCGCTGTCGCACGCTCCATAACTCGGCAGCGCCGTACCGCACGCACGTGCGTATTTAATATGGTGTATTACGTATACTTACACGCGGCGCTCGAGAAGGGAAGAAAGAAGGGAGGGAAAAATAAGTTATCCGCGCAACGGAGACAGACTGTGTATTAGTTAGTAAGTAATTAATCTATGGACTATGGCCGCGCGCGAGGCCAGCTCGATGTGACGGTTGTGTTGAGTGTGCGTGCTTCCCCCCTCCTTGGTCTCCGCGACTCATTGTTCCATTTCGCCATTTAATCATTCATTCCTATCGTCGTGCATCCATCACCGATGTCATCGTCGCTATTCCATAATCATCGATAATCCGTATCCTTTTCCTCCCTTATCCTTATATCCATCGTTACCTTCCAATCCCTCTCTCTCCTCTCATACTGTTTGTAGCATGTCCATCATCGAAGCTCTCCTGCTCTTCCTTCATCCTCCTGGAATTCATCTACGTACCACTTTCAATCTCTATCTAACCATCTTTCTCTCTCTTTCTCTCTCTCTCTCTCTCTCTCTCTCTCTTTCTCCCTTGTAATGCTTCAACGCCTCCGTCGTCATGTTGTTGTCACTCTTAATTATTGTAATATATAATGAATAACGATCACTGTTGAGTATTGTCTGATTGTAATACATTGATATTGAATTGATATTGAATTGATAATCATTAATTAAAAGTATAACATTAACTCTGTGGATGTAGCCATATTGGTGTGCGTGAAAGTGAGCCGCGCGAATGGATGTGTGTTTGATCGAGAGCCGAAAGCATTGCCGAAGAGTCGCCGCACCGTTGAACAAAGTTGTCCGATCAACCTATCATTCCCTTCGTATTTACGCACAAATTGCCAAATCACACCACATTATCTGTAAATCAGGCGACAAGTTCGATCTACAGAGGGCCTGATTCTGGTATGATTTTACATACTCTTGCGAAGGATTGAGGAGTTAATGGGATTCGAAGCTAGGGTGTTCTTCGAGTTCATTTAATGTGACGTCAATGCGTACGGCTGGTAGCGAATGACGGCTGTCCGACGTGTATGCGCGTGTGCATGTGTCCTGTGCGTCAATTCAATGTGCAGTTATACGTGGAGAAAGTATTTATTGCTCAAAAAACATCGGAAGACCGTGGTGGAAAGGTAAGGAAGCGGGTAAAAGATATGGAGTTGTTGGTAGGCTTACTGGAAAAGGAATTGGGGGGAGGGTGGGATGGAAAGTCGGAAGAAGGAACAGAGAATCCACGCGGTGGCGAAGACACATCGCCAGACAGGGTAATAATCGCGCGACAGGGAAAAGAGGCGGGAAATGGTACAATTAATAATGATGGTAACGGGTCAACCGAACGATCCAACAACCAACGGTTTCCCTCGAGGATGAGGCGTGATCGCGTGCTCGCCCGCTGTTCCGCGCACAAGAGAACGGGGCGTGCGGTACCCTCCCCCGCGCACGCCGACTTCAAATGGTACTAATAAACCCAAAGTGCCTCTGGTAGATTTTTGGGCATAAGCTTGAGTAATAAAGACTACATAGCGTTTACTATAAAAAAAAGAAAGGAAGGAAAAGAGACACGACTACGACGCGACTGCTGATTATAATAAAACGATAATAAAAGAGCCGAGAAAGAGAGAGAAAAGGGGGGGGGGAGAAAACGAAACGATGGCGAGAGTGCTTTTGACACGTCCTCCGCAAAACGATTACACGTGAAAAGCGAACGGAGGTGCGGGCGTACCGGGTGTGTACGCGGTGCGTACGCTAATTAAACGTTTAGATAGATATTAACGTATAGTCGGTAGCCTAGTCTCTATGTCGGTGTCTGTCTGCCCTGAGTGTCTTTCCCACGGTGTACCCCTCAAGTGCGTGTACCTTGAAATCCCGGCGAGCAGATTCCCTCACAGTCCAACGCCCTCGGTCACCGTCGTCCTCGAGTTCAGCCTCTTCCCTGCGTCATGTCCCCGGCCGTGTATTGACCCATTATGGATCCTCGCCGTCCTTTGTCTCCCGAGCCCGACCCCCGAATCTTCTCCAGTACCTCGACACCCCGTCTTTTAAACGCAACTAACTGTGCTCACATCACGCGTCATTCGCCACAATTACCGATCGGCACGTTTTGCTAAGTAAATATTATTATTATTATTGTATCGATGGTTCCTTATCAATTATGGAATATACGAATCCCGATTTGTAAAATTCGACTTAACTAAGAAGATGTGTAATAACTTAATCATCGTATCATTCATGCGTGGCTTGCTGCCCCCGGCAGTCTAACTACCGTCGTATGCTTGAATATGGAGACAACGTGCGCGCCTCCGAGAATGTTTCTGATGTACGTTAGTGAGCGAACGTGTACGAATTTTTGTGTGTCTATTATATTCCCGTCTCTCTGTCATCTCGTTCAATTTGTATTCCCTTTCTTCTTGTCGCTATCAATCGGAGATCCATCTGATTGAGCCATGAGAGGTGGAAGAGACAACTTGAAAAAGAAACAAGGAAGATGGGGTTGTATGAATGAACGGCTGAACGAATGTCAGATGGATTGTGCAAGACTGAGAGAGGCAGCGGAGGGAGCTTGCCAATCAATCCCGAGGTCGCTCCCTCGCCGCTCATTTTTACGTCATAAACATTAATTATGATTATCCATAAAGGATAAACGCATTCAACAAAACATAATTATGTTACGTTTATAATAGTCATGTTCCTTTCCGATCGATGATAATTGATAATAAATCTATATCAACCTTACTATATTATTTTGTACTTGTTTTTTAATATTTCTTATTTTTTAATCTTAATATATTATATATACATATACATAAAAATCTATAAATAATGCCGTTTTTAAGTTATCAGACGTATTATTATCATTATTATTATTAATTATTATTTTTGTATAAATGTGTGATTAATAGTACGGATAGTGTAATAATTTTGTATGTTTATTGAACCAAAAATAAATATTATTGATAAAGAAAGAGGATTGCCTGAACAAATGTCTATATTTCCGTTTCAATCTTCATCATCAATCGTAGAAATGGCTTTTTCGGACATCGGTTGTGGCTTTTGCGTCACACGTAAACTTTGCGGTCCGATACTGCTTAACACGACCGGTAGTAGGATCAGTCCGTTCCATAGCCCGAACAAAATTACCAAATAAAATATTCGAAAAAAGGCCATGAACACGTAGGACGACGAGAAGGCCAGCATCGAGACGGCGAGAAATGTTGAACCCGCACCATATGCGACTGCTGCACCGATATGCCTGACTGCGACCAATGTTCGGGTCTTACGAGCATTAACATCATCCTCTCGCGACTCAGCATTCAGGAAAGCATGTGCAACGTGTGCGGCATAATCCACACTCAAACCGATGCTCAGCTCAAGACCTGTAAAAGATTGTTACTGAATCTGTGTTTGATTAATAAGAAATTCGCTTTAAACATTTAAAAAATCACTTTAATGCGAGAATTGTATAATTTGTATATTTTATAGTCTAAAAATATATACTATAATAGAATGATTATAATTTTATGAAGATCAAGATGAAAATTGAGAATGAAAATTGAGCTTTGCATGTAATCTCGTAATTTCGTAATATAAATATCTTTTTATACTCCTTATAATCGTCATTGCAATAATAAAAATAACAACAAAACACACAATAAGTGGATCGAATTCACAATTTTATTATTTACTTTATACTTTATGAAATTGATTTATTGCAAAACAGAATTTCATCAAAAAATTTTTTTCATTTTATTAAATATCTTTTCTTCCTATTTACATGTATATATTTATCTTTTACATAAACAGAATAACAAAACTACGAATTTATGAAGCAAAATAAAAAAATATACTTACCAATGCAGGACACCACGTCTATTGTTAGTCCCCAAAAATACATGAAGCCGCAAACATTTAGCAATGTGAGAAGTACACAGAGTAAGATCCAAAAACAAGTCTGTATTTCAGCAATGAGAATCGCTGTGGTACCCATAACACAGAATAATGCCAGGATAATGTTTCGTGATAGTTCTTGACTGATTAGTTTATCGGCAGTCCAAGGTCCGAACATTTTGCACCACACTGTCACATATCCGTGAATTTGCGCTTCGTTTGTTAGGAGTTTACTATTATCCATCGCCGGAACCCATTCGTTAGGACCTTCAAATTGTTTGAAATAGAACTCAATGGTTGCTACTGCGATTCGTGGGGCATTTTTCCCGCATTTAAACTTCTCTTTGAAAAAAAAATTTCTCTGATATTTGCCACCAGCTCGACTAACAAGAAATTTCGATAGATAATAATGGAACTTGTCGTCTGTAAGTTTTGTAGATTTCAAATCTGGTAAAAAATAATATACAATTAATTTACAAAATTATTTAATTAATCGACGAATGATTTTGTTTATCTCAAAAAATTTGTATAAAATTTATTCTTTTACGAATTAAAATAAATTTTAGATATATATATATATTTTTTTTTTTATTAATTCATGAAACTTCAAAAATTCATCTTTTTCGGAAACAAATTAAAATTTTTGTCACGCCACTTTTAAGACAAACAATTCAAGTAAATTATAATAAATAACCTGTGTCATAATACAGTGATACGAATTTTGCGAACTCAGTTGGCCAAGGTTCTATATTTTGTATAAAAGACGCATTTTGTAAGCGTTCTGTCAGAGATATTATCTTAGAAAATTCAAAAGAGTAATTAATATCATCTCCCATAAGGACGAAGGCTTCATGTCCTTGATTGGGAAATGTTTGAGTTCGGATAGCTATATAGTGATACAAATATGAGTCTTTCGGTAATAACCATTTTGGATCAAACCATTGTTGCAACTTAAGCAAGCCCATAATACTTGTAGACATCGTTACAAAAGTAATTAATACAATAATAATTTTCCCAGGTGTGGTTAAGACTATTCGCGAGTAGAAGAAGTTTATAAATTTCCAAGAGACTGCACTGCTCACGTCTGATGGCTTGGGTGTAAAATTTTCATGCACGATACACGGAAACATCCCATTTCGTTTTCGTTCCATTCTTCTAGCATCCAAAGTAAAACAGGCAATAAAAAATGTAATTTGTAATAAAAATGTCACAAATACACCTACTGCAGCATAAATACAAAATGACTGAAGTGATGGCAATATCTAGAAAAGAACATTATACGTTATCTTTTGGTAATTGTAATTATTTTCATGCAGATTGAATAATTAAATTATGACTAGGTTATTTTAAAACAAATGCAGAAATTAAGTTGAATCATTGATAATATATAATTGTTTTCTTTTAGGAATAAATAAAAAAAGGTTTAGCAAATATTTTATATAAAAACAAAGTTCTAAAAAAAGTCTATTCTCATATGAAATAAA